ACAGGGCCATGTGTTTGGAATGTCTCCTCTTTGGGTGATATGTCATGTGCCTTTGGGCTCTTTTTTTTTTCCCCTTCCCCCAATTGTGATATGGGTGAAAGTTTACAGAACAAATTCACGTTCCATACAGCAGCTCACATATACTTTGTCTCATGACGTTGACTACAATTTACCACAATGCAATAGCTCCCCTCCCACTTCTTCCTCATAGTTATCTCTTCCCTGTGTCCTTCCCTCCATACACTCCTGCCCCCTGAGCTGTCTCCCTGTGCATACACAGCCCTTCTATTCTCCCATGATTATTCTCTCCAAGGAGTGTGTCTACCTAGTGTAAATGTTCACGTCATATGCCTATCTTTTGTTTGGCTGGAAGGCACAGGAATGGTTTCAATTCCAGACCTGAAGGGCAGCTAGAGGCCATAGTCTCAGTGGTTCCACCAGGCTTTATCAGACCAGCAAACCTGGTCCTTTTTTTTTTTTTTTTTTTTTTTTTTTTTTTTTTTTTTTGCCTCCAAATGATTTTGAGTTTTGTTCTACATTGTTCTCCCACTCTGTCCAGGATCTTCTACATAGATCCCCCTGCGAGTGGTTAACAGTGGTAACTGGCCACCATCTAGTTCTTCTGGTCTCATAGTCGCATGGGCTGAGGATTGCATGGTGTCCCCGTCACTTGGACTAATCATTTCCATGAATCTTTAGTTTTCTTCATTCTTCTTTGCTCTGGACGAGGAGAGACCCATCATTGCATCAGATTGCCTCTTGCAAGCTTTTAAGATCCCAGTCACTACTTGGCCTTTGGGCTCTTTTGACCATAGCTGCTCCATCCTGCCTCAGGACTGTTCTATGCATGGAGCAAGGCAAGAAGTCTAGAGGAGCATGATTTGGGAGGGGTCCTGCTAGCAGAGAGTGGGCATTGTTGCAGGAGAGACAGCAGAGCATAGGTCTCAGCTTTGTGGGAGTCTTGCTGTCAGAGGTGCTGGAGCTTAAAGCTGGACCTGGGGCCCAGGATACTGTGTATACCAGGAAGGATTTAGATAGGCCCACAAAGCCAGGCTATATAGCACAGGGTGCCTGGTGAAGGTGAAACCTGAAGTGGGAGGTGGAGTGGACTGGGAGCTGCCCTTCCATAGGGTCACTGCTGTAGGCTAGACCTCCATCTCCCAGTAATGGTTGTGCAGCCAGCACAGCTTTTGTTTTGTGCTGCAGAACTCACGTGGGCTTCCAAGGCTGTTGTGGACTAGCAGCCTGGTGACTTAAAGCTCTTCTCTCCCCACCTACTCCTGAAATGGGAATCATTACCTCCAGTAGTATATTGAGAATGAGTGAGAGAGAGGAACATAAAGGAACACCTGGAACAGCTGCAGCACCTTCCCTTCCCTCAGTCCATGTGTGAAGGCAGACCTCTCTGTTCTGTTTTACTTGTACCTAGGCCTCATCCTTGCCTTGTCTTTGAGGATGCCTTGACATTCTAGGAGACCGGGGTGGGGGTAGGGGGAGAGACCTCTTCTTTCTGGGTGAGGTGGTCACTTGGAAAGTACTTTTCTCCTCATATAGCTGGGGTGCCTCCTGTGGCCCTGGGTGCTTACTCAAATCTGTAAGACAGATCTTCATTCCTATCACCCACCTAAGCAGGCCCAGGCTCAGACTGAAGACTAGAATAGATCCGCCTGACTCCACATGTGGGGCTTTCTGTGCTAAACACTAAGAAGCCTTGTAAGAGGGCTATGTCCTGGAGTTAAGCTACTCATAGGCTCTGGGCTTGGGAACTAACTTTAGCCTGGCTTCCTGCACTTTAGTAGCTTTTTGGAAGTGGAAGCAGGAGCTCTCTAGCTGTGATGAAGTAGACTGTAACAGCCCCAGGGGATGTGTCAGGAGCTTATGCTGTCCCCAAAGTGAATGCAGAAGCCTGGGTTTATAGTAGGGCTACCTCTGATCATCCCTTCTCTGGAGGCTGGTCCCTGATAGCAACAGGCCTCTCAGGCTGTGAGGAAACAATCCCTTTCCCCTTCTTTGGCAGCAGAGAAAGAAGCAGAGAAGCAGTTTTTGCCCCTGGTTTGTCTGTCCCCAGCCTCTCCAGCTGTCCTAGCCACAGGGCAAGGGGCCATTACTACTGTCTCACCTGCCCAGGCTGGCCACCTGGAATAGGAAGCAGCTTCAGGAGGAGTAGAGTGTTTTCTAGGGCCTGGTGCATGCCAGCTGTGCCACTGTGGAAGAGAGTGCTCATGTTTCCCAGGCTCAGAGATGTGGGCTCAGCTGAGACCCAAGCTCTGGTGTTGATGGCTCTGCTATTCTCTTGCCCTTCGTCACTCCCTTAAGAAAACAACTTCAGTATGCCAGGTCCTGCCCAGCAGGGCTTCATTGGCACTCCGAAGCCTTCCTGCCCTGAGCATGGGCTCCTCAGCATCTGCAGGGTCTTAGTGTTAGACTTCATCCTATGGATATAAGGGAAGGGACTTTCTGCAATGTAGCTTCAGACCCTTGGAGTCCTCTAAGGCAAGCTTAATGGCTCATTTGGTCTGATCTTTGCCACTGAACTCTTCAAGTTCAAGGGTAGGAAGCCCGCCTGGTGTAGAAAGGGCCTCAGCACAGGTGGTTCTCATGCACGTCCTCGGTCTTATGCTGTGCCCCTCTACAGACTCCTAACCTTGAAGGAGTCAACTTGTCTTTGACTCCTAGACCCTCAGAACTAAAGGGGGCCTTAGAGCCAGTCACATTTCTCCCTCTTCTGCTCAGCTGGGGAAGCAGGCCTGGAGTGGGGCAGTGATCAGCCTGGACTCTGACTGGCAGCACCAGGGCTGGCTCCTCCTCCTCAGTACTTAGGGCACTGAGCCCTAGCAGCCCTTTGGAGGCTGAGACTGATGGGCTAAGTGGGTGTAGCTGCATCCCTCTGGCTCCCAATCTATGAGGCCAAAACAAAGAGGGAGGTGTGGTGGCTCTGCCGGGCTACTCACCAATGTGGTCCTGAGGGCATCAGGCATTTGGGTCCCCAGCTGAAAGGAATGAGGACCTGTGCTGGCTCAGGAGACAGATCTCTGCCAGGTCAGAGCCTTGGCTCCTGTCTATGGCCTTGACTCTTTACTCCATGACCTCCAGAAGGTATAACCTTCAGTTTCAGACCTAGTTTCCACACCTTTTTACGGGATGCCAGCTAATAGTGGGGCTGCCATGGCTTCTGGGGGAGCTGTGAGGACTGGGTACAGCTGTCACCAAAACTCTAAGCAGTCTAGCCCAAGGCAGTTTTTAGATTTCTCTTCTGCTCTTTCCCACAGCATTCCTACAAGGTGTGTCCTTTGAGTCCTGCCCTGACCACAGCCCTCAGAACCAAGTTACTACTTTGTGCCCAGCAGCCAGCACCAGCTGTGTTCCCAATCCCAGCTGTTATGCAGGCTCTTCTTGTGCCCCTGCTTCCCTGCCTGACCCGCCAGCCTTCTCTGTGCCACATGAGAAGCCACAAAGCTTCTTTGAAATTTTTCCAGACCAGCTTCTCCCATCCCAGTTTCATGAGCGTCTCTAGTCACCACCTTGAAGGGTCTCTGCCCAGCTTCTCTACCCCCTCCTCCCTGACTATACTCTCTTGGTTTCCTTTCACTTGATGCTGCTGGGTGGGTCCACACACTCTGAATGAAGGCAAAGCCCCCATCCCTCTGGCCTCTACTCAGCACCCTGGGATGGCAGGACTGGAGCATTGCCCAAGCCAAGCTTATGATTTGGAGTGGGCCAGACTCCTCCTGGCTCTGCCACTCCCAGATTGGGGAACTGAAGCAAATTGTGCCCCTAGCCTCAGTGTCCCGGTGTGTACAGTGAGCAAGTGGGTAGCTTTCATTATTTTCCTCAAGCCCCTCTACAAGCTGGAGCCAGGGGAGCCTTCCTGTTTGGGTATTTCAGGTGAGGATGAGGCTGGTATCTTTTCTTTCTTCTTTTGAAAAAATTTTTATTGTGATTTGGGTGAATGTATACAGAGCAAATTTGTTTTCCATATGGCAGTTCATAAACATTTTGTTTCATGATATTGACTGCAATTCCCCACAATATAACAGCTCTCCTCCCACTTCCTCCCTGTAGTTACCTCTTTCCTGTGTCCTTCCTTCATATATATTTCTGCCCTCCAAGCTGTCTCCCTGTGCAGACACTGCCCTTCTGTTCGCCCATGATTTATCGCTCTAAGGAGTGTATCTACCTGATGTAAATGGTCACTCTGTATGCCTCTCTGTTGTTTGGCTGGAAGCCACAGGAGTGAGTTCAGTTTCAGACCTAAAGAGTAACTAGGGGTCATAGTCTCAGGGGTCTCACCGGCTCTATCACACCAGTAAACCTGGTCTCTTTTTTTTTTTTTTATGGTTTTGGGTTTTATACCACATTGCTCTCCTACTCTATCCAGGATTTCCTGCACTTATTCCTCTTTGAGTGATTGGCAGTGGTAACTGGGTACCATCTAGTTCTTCTGGTCTCATGGTCATATAGGCTGAGGATTGCATGGTCTGCTAGCCTCTTACACTAATTGTTTCCATGCATCTTTGGTTTTTTTCATTCTTCTTTCCTCTGGACAAGGAGAGACCCATTGTTATATCGAGATGGCCACTTGCAAGCTTCCAAGAACCCTACTCACTATTCAGGGAGGTATCTTTTTGAGTGTGCTGGTGCCTGCCAGTGGGGGGGCCCTCTGTCCTTGGACAGGGAGAACAGATGCCTTGGGAGAGAACCTCTGGGCCTGAGGTGGGCCTGCCTCATTCTGACCAAAGAGTCCTGGGGTCTTTCCTTGAGGCAGCAGATCCCTACCATTGGAAGTCTCCAAACAAGCATCTAAGCTTGATCTTAAGAAGAACATCTTTGAAAGTCAGCTACTTGAATCCCTAAGTTAGGAGGAGATTGAGGCACAGAGCAGAGAATGCTGAACTAGGGCTGGCTGGTCCCAGCTAGGCCTGGCCCTTGGAAATTGGCCTGAATGGAGTCAGTGCCCTCTTTGAGGTCTGTTGGCAACATCATGTATATTTCCTTTACAGGACGAGGTTAGATGCACCCCGGTTGGAAACAAAGTCCCTGAGCAGCTCAGTGTTGCCACCCAGCTATGCCTCTGATCGCCTGCTGGGAAACAACAGGGACCCTGCTCTGAAACCCAAACGGTCCCACCGCAAGGCAGACCCTGATGCTGCCCACAGGTACTCGGCTGAGACCCCTTGCTGAAGGCCATCACTTCGACCTTAGTGCCTGGCTGTAGGGTTAGTGAGGTGGGGTGGAACCCTGAGGAGTTGGTTGGGTGAAAGCCTGGGATTCAAACCCATGAGAACCTTATTTCTGCTTCTTCCAGGTTGGTGATGCTGGTCTAAACTCCTTGCTAGCTGCCCATACGCCCAGAGAGAAGGGGTTAGGCAAAGATGGGAATGCTTTGTGGCTTTCCCATATCTTCCTTTGTGTTCCCATCCAGACTAATGTTCTTGTGGGTTCATACTTAATATTAAGGGAAACTTTGGACTTGGAGGATTGCAAATCATTCTGGAGGTGTTGTGTGGGCCAAACCCATGTAGAGAGAGCTCGGTGGTTTCAGGGGTTAGATTGGTAGCAAGAAAGGGGAGCAGGGAAAGAAGGAGTTTTGAAGGGAGGGGGCAGAAAAGTAGAGGTAGATGAGCTGTACCATGCAAAATCATGAGGCTGTGATAGGAAAGGTCTTCTCTGTCCAGCAGCCCTTACAGTATCCCCCTGAGCCAAGCAGACCCCACAGGGTCATTGGGACTATCTCAGACTGGGGTGGCCACTGATACTTAGTGGACCAGACGTACTATGGCAGTACATCTGCCAGCATGTCCTTCATGAGAACCCCAGAGCCAGAACAAACCATCCTCCAGGTAAAGTAACTGTCACATCATACACCTCCTACCTTGCAGGCCCCGGATCCTGGAGATGGACAAGGAAGAAAACCGGCGTTCGGTGCTGCTGCCCACACACCGGCGGAGGGGGAGCTTTAGCTCAGAGAACTACTGGCGCAAGTCCTACGAGTCCACAGAGGACTGCTCAGAGGCGGCTAGCAGCCCTGCTCGGAAGGTGAAGATGAGGAGGCACTGAGGCCTGCCGCCCACATCCCTCTGGGGAACTCTGGTTCATCCTCATGTAGCTGTCCCCTCCTTTTGTTTTGTTTTGATGGTTTTTGTTTTTTGGTTTTTTTGATCCTTTATTTTTTTCCTTGGATTGTTGTCTGTTAAGGCTGAAGAGCAGAATTGGCCAGGACCTAGGTCCTCATCTTGATTTTTCTCCTGAATGGAAAGCCTGTTGGTGTTTGTTGGGGACAGAAGCTGACACTGGAGTGGCCAGTATAGAGGTGTGGGGGGCAGGTGTCCTCAAGTAGGGCTGTGTCAGACTGGGTTTATTTAAAAGCAACAAAATGTTTGGGTTAAGAAAATTCTTGGTTTGCTTTAAAATTTAAGTCTTTTCAGTATTTTAAAGTTTGATCTTTTGCTCTATCCCTTCCTCCACTGACACCTGCGCTTGATTGAGGTCTCTTAGAGCCTTCCTAGCTCCACCTGTATGTAGCCTGTTCAGCCCTGGCTCTGCTGCCCCCATCCCCCCACTTCCCACCTGCTCTCCAGCTCCTAAAAGCTCATGCAAACACCCATTTCTCTTCCTGTGGCAGAGTTCAGGCTGGCTGGGCGGGGTGCAAATAGTGCCCACCCCTGCCTCCTCAGAGCTGTTGCTGAGTCCCTGGGTTGCCTGTGAGTCCACTGTTACGCTCTGCCCACAGTTCCTTGGAGCTTCCCAGGGACGGCCATGGTCCTGGCCCCTCTTGCCAAAAGCATACCTCTGCTGGGTTGCTTCTTTCCAGCATATGTGTGTGATTGTACGGAGCAGTTAAGACTTGCCATGTCGGGTCACTTTAGGATTGTTTCTAGCTAGAGGGACTGGTATCCTCCCAAGTCTAGCATGTGGGGTATGGAATATTGTTGTGGTGTGTGGTAGGGTTTTTGTTTTGCGTTTTTATTTTTCCTTTGGTCTCCCGGCTTTTTCCTTTCCCTTCCCGTCTCCTACATTGGCCAGCTTGGGCCTTCTCCCCACGGTGTCCCCTTGGAGAGGTGCCTGCACCTCTGTCTGCCTACAGCATGTATCCGAGGCCAGGGCTCAGGCCTTCAGACCAGGTGGGTGTCCCTCTGCCTTGGGGGGGGGGGGGGGGAGCTGGGGAAGGGCCTTTTAAAAAATAATAATAAAAGAAATAAACAATGTAAAGTCTTTGGCAGTTTCTACCCATTCAGATCCTTGAAGGCTGCAAGATTTTGCTAACCTAGATTCATTAGAAATTTCTCCATGCCAGCCATGGATGGCCCAGGCCTGCCCAAAAGCAGAGGCTCTCCCATTCCCCAGATATCATCATCCCTCTGGACAGAGGCTGAAAAATTGGGGGCAGCCACCATCAAGAAGTCCCTCTCAGGGACCAGAACTCATTTGCCAGCGTGGATTCCTCAAGTTGGGACTGCGTAACTAAAGCAGTTGCAGGTTTATTTTTTTTACAGCTTTTTTCCCAAAAATGATTTGTAGTTGTATGTGCAGCACTTTGCCCTGAGATGTGTGCTCTACAATAAAAACCAAATCTAATATATTTTGAAACAATTGTCTGATGCTGTCATAACAGAAGGCTTGCTTTTGGTGCTCCCTTAATCCCTTTATTTTTCCCTTAAACTTTCGACAAGTGTGGGGCTGGGCAGAGCTCATCGCCTACCAGGGCCCTGAAGGAGAGGACCCATCGAGGATACACAGGCCTTCGTTGGATCAGCGCTGGGCTGAGAGCTGGCAGTGAATTTGTTCTCTGCTCACTGCCCTTCCCCTCCAAGAAGGACAGATTTCATAAACCCTGGCCCAAAGGGCCAGGGCCACACTGTCAAGTTTTGGAAGCCATTCTTCCTAGGACAATCAGAAGTTGCCTGCCAGGGAGAAGGCACAGCAGCACAGAGGAGGGAGGGGGACCTGGTTTTGCAAAAGATAAGCAAATAGTTTTGTACTTTAAACATGTTCTTGAGTTCCCAGTAACTGCTGAGCAGTACTGGGGCCCCAACAATGAAGAGTGTTCATCCAGTTCCTACTTCCAAGATACTCACAGGAGAGCTGTGAGATACAGAGGAAGCCAGAGCTTTTGGGTAGATGGGCTGAGGCCCAGAGAGCATGAGTACCCCCAGATCCCAGACCTGGCTTCCAGGGCCTGGTCAAGGGCTCCTGTCTTAATGTTTCCTTCACTCTGTTCAGTACTCGGAGCCAGCCTGCTGGGGCTAAAGTCCTGCTTTGAAATCTTGGGCAGCTACTTAAATGCCCATTTAGCAGGAGAAGAGAGGCCAGATGGGCCTACAGGAATAGCCACTGGGCTGGGCAGACAGTGGCCCTGGATTCAGAGAGGACACATTAGAGATGTGGAATAGGAACTGGCCTGAAGTCATTCACATTGCATATGACAGACATGGGTGTTCTTTTACCACACCTCGACTGCTTATACTTAAGGGTGACATAGGGGTTCATGTGGAAGGCTAGGGAGCTGTGTAGGTATCATAAAGCCAGACCTGACCTCTTTCAGCCCTTGGTGGAAGAGCCTCTTTGCCCTATAGAATTGAGAAACAGGCAGGCTGTGACCCCAGCAGGTCCTTCCCTGACACTGGCTGAGTCTCTGCATCTGTACAATGAAACCATGCCCCCCACCCCCCATCACACACACACCTCAGTGATAAGACTCTTGGAAGCAATTTCCAACCCCTCTGGAATTTTAAGGAAACACAGGGCCCTTCACCCTGACTCCCTGAGTCTACATATTCTTAGCCATCTCCTGTAGCTTTGGGCCAGATGCTAAATCAGTTCCCCTGCCTCAGCCCAGTCTTGCACACCATAGGTGCTTTATCAACAGTTGGCACCAGCCTCACCTACCCAGGAGCCCATCTCGTTTCCAACCCTGTATGTGGAGGAGAAACAGACCCAGAGAGGTCAGGGACTGACCCAAGATCACTTCGTTAATAGAAAAAGTATTGCATGTCCTACTTTTTGCCATGCACATGCTGGGGGTACAAAATAGACCTGGTGTCTGATTTCATGGAGTTGACATCTAGTGGACAATCATGTCCATGCATGCTTAACACATGCAGTGATAAATTTTACTAATAAAAAGAATATACAATATTCTTAATTGTAAGTGTCATATAGTCAGTTATTTCTCACAATGCTTTTATTGATTTTTGTTAAATTCTTAGTTATCTAGTGCTGCTATAACAGAAATACCACAAGTGGGTGGTGATGGTGGTGGTATGTGCCGTCGAGCCGGACCCGACTCATAGCGACTCCTCCTTGGGTTTCCGAGGCAGTATCACTACGGAAGTAGATTGCCCCATCTTCCGAGGAGTGGCTGGTAGATTTGAACCACCAGCCTTCTGGTTAGTAGTCAAGTGCCTTAGGCACTATGCTACCAGAGCTTTAACAAATACATTTTCTCACAATTTAGAAGGCTGGAAGCCCAAATTCAGGGTACAGGCTGTAGGGGAAGTTTTTCTCTCTTTGTTAACTGGAATAAGGTCCTGTCTCTTTGAGATTCTGTTCCTAGGCGATCTTCATGTGGCTTTGCATCTTCCCCATCTCTGCTTTTCTATTGTTTAATCTCATATCTCAAAAGAGATTGACTCAAGATATACACTACACTAATTGTGCCCCGTTAGCATAACAAAGAACCCAAATGGGACTATAACCACAGGCATAGAGGTTAGGATTTACAACATATTTTGGGGGACATAATTCAACCCATAACACTTGTATTCATAGCCAACCTATGGTGGTAATTCAACCACAATTTGACAAGTGGAGTTGCATCTCTATCTGCCTGTATTAGTTTTTTGTGGCCACTGTAACAAATGACTACAAATGATGGCTTAAAACAACAGAAGTTTATTAGCTCTAGAGGCCAAGAATCTGAATTCACTATCACTGGGCCAAAATCAAGATTTTTGGCAGGGCTACGCTCTAGGGGAGAATCTGATTCTTACCTCTTACAGCTTTTGGTAGCTGCTGATATTCCTTGATTTGTGGCTACGTCAATTTCTGCCGTTATGCTCACATTACCACCGCCTCTTCTGTGTATATCAGATCTCTCTCTGCATCTCTGAGGACAGTTGTCATGCATTTAGGGCCAACTGGAATAATCCAGGATAATCTCATGTCAAGATCCTTAGTCACATCTGCAAAGACCCTTTCTCCTTATGGAGGAGCATTCACAGGTTTCAGGGACCAGGACCTGATACAGCCTGATTCAGCCCATGACTCTGATCTTTTCCCAATAAATTAATCATCAAATCTGATAATGTGACCTGTGGGTTTCTAATCCTTGAACAAATTATATTAATTTGATTAAAACTCCTTTCAGCTTTGGCACTACTTTTTTTCCTTGGCTCACTATTTTTTTTCCTTTCCATGAGACCAGGAATGTCCTAATTAGAAGCTATTCCATGAGCCTGTGTCACAGAATGAAGAGGAGCGGCAGATCCCAATGAACCTGTGGCACAAACAAGAAATAAATCTTCATGGCTGTGAGCCATTGAGATGTAAACTGTACATTACTGTATCTTAGCTTAGTTTTAGCTCAACACTACTTTTAAACTTGCATCTCTTAAACTTAAATCTAGACCTGTACTGTCCAATACGGAAGCCACTGGACACTGACTCTTGAGCACTTGATGTGTGGCAAGTTTGATGTGCTGTAAGTGTAAAATACATACTGGATTTTGAAGAGTTAGTATGAAACATGTAAAATTTATCATTAATTTTTTTATATTAATTACATGTTGATAAAATATTTTGGACATACTGTATTAAATAAAATATATTTAAATTAATTTCACCTGTTTACTGTTACTGTTTTAAATGTGGCTACTTGAGAATTTAAAGTTACATGTATGGCTTGCATTATATTTCTTAGTCAATGCTTGTGTAGAAAATCAACAGTAAAAATCAAAGCTGATTTGTGGTGGTTGCCACAATTTCCGTGGTGACAATACTTCCAGTAAATTCCAATATTCCAGTAAATACTTCACTGATTTTAAGCTACCAACATGAGG